TGATATCTAGGATTTCTAGCTTGATACCGTCTAACTTGATAGGGTGGGTAGTTTAAGACATTCATAAAATGTTTAAACTCGTTTCAAAGTCATTAAGTAATCTTTAAGAGAAAAAAAATGCCATTTATAGTGGAATCTATTAATTGACTGAAAATTTATTGATAATATTCTTCAAGAGAACATAGTTTACATGGGAATATATACTATATTCTTTGAAGATCTTTATGATCAAGAAACCATACAATAGAGGAATTTCTCAATTCTCAAAAATTATTTCTATTAAGACTACGACCCCAAACTCATGATGGATATTTTTGGTTTCTAGTCTATGTTCCACCAGAACTGTCCTTGAAGATATTTAATTACATTCGCGTCAACTTGAAAAGCTTTGGTGAGAACATCAAGATTTATTGGAGGGTTTGATCCAAAAACTGCATTTGCAATAGTGATGACTCCTGGATTTTGGCTGCTTAGACCAGCAAATACAATGGCATTAGTCTTCCCCACATTAAACTGGAAATGAATGAGACCTTCTGGAAATACAAAGACGTCTCCTGGATGCAAAGTCTTGGTAAAGAGTTTGTTCTTCATGTTTGGATCTGCTGGGTTCGATGTCACGAATCCAACATAGAGAGTGCCCTCCACAACAACAATAACCTCAGTACCCCTAGGGTGAGTGTGTGGTGGGTTGAGGCCATAGGGTGCATAGTCAATACGGACTAAAGAGATGCCAAGAGTGTTGAGTCCCGGTAATTGGTTGACATTCACAGGTGTGACTTTTGATCCAAGAGGATTTGATGTATTCCCAGGCATATTCAAACCTGGAAAGAAGAAATCATCGGCACTAACCATGTTTGGATCCTTGCAAATCTTTCCATTCACAAAAACTGCAAGAAATACAGAAGCCATTGTTTTAGTAGGAGAGAGCATTATATAGTTAAGTAGCCTGTGTATTTCAAGATTGTTATTCTAGAAGTGTAAAATGCATTTACCTTTTGCATCATCATCCTTAACAGCAACACAAAAATCCTGTAGGGGGTTAGGATCAGATGCGTACGTAAATGAAACAAACAAGATAAGAAGAACGGCAATTAGTATGCGAACAGCCATTTTCGGTACAACTGATATTTTGTTTATGTTGCGGTTTGTAGATGTTTATTTTGTGAAAGAGGATTGTCTATTTATAGCGGTGCTTTCATTCTGAATTAGTCATCAACGTATCTTTTCAAACACATAATTTTGCCAAGTCTTAGAAACATAATTAAATATATTTTCAAGAGCAGGTCAATTTTAAACAACTAACACTCAAATTTTCTTTCATCTGAAGTGTTCTCATTTATCAATTAATCGTTGATCAGGTCCTGATGAACCTCGCTGAAAATTCA